TCACAATGAGTCGATGCAATGAGCTGGTTTTTCTTAGATAGAAAACTTTGTATCAATTTGACTGTATGATCTGGTTGAACTGTAAAGTGCCTTGAGATGACATGTGTTGTGAATTTGGCGCTATATAAATAAACTGAATTGAAAATTGAATTGAATATAAGTACATGCCATTTATCATTTACCATATGAACCTGGCATGTCCTTGTGTGTTAGCACTAAGGTTTTGTTGTAAACACAGACTGGATTTTTTTCAGCATTGTATTTTTTTTGTGTGATAATTGGGGATCTGGGGTGTTGTTGTCTGGGGTGAAGACATTGAGATGCATGAGTCTCACACCCAGTGGGTGAGAGTTGACAGCCCTGAGTTATTCAAAACAGGTTTACCTTAAGCATAAGATTGGCCTAGCTTCTCTCATGCTAATTCTTACCATCTCAGCCTCTATGTCATTGATAGAATTTGACTAATCAACCTTCTACTCAATTAGCAAGATTTTAATCTTGAAAACCTATTTTTTCCAGCGTTTGTTTTATTGTCATTACTATGTCACAGGTACAGAGCAATGAAATTGACTCTATGCATTTAACCCATCCCCTTGGGGAGCAGTGGGCTGCCATTGTTCGGAGCCCGGGGAGCAGTGTGGGGTTAAGGGTCTTGCTCAGGGACCAAGAGTGATAGTCTGAAGCAGTCCATAAAACCCAACCTCTTATTGCACAAACACTTTATTGTCCAATGTCAATGCAGACATATTTTTAACAACATGAATGTAAACATATACATTCTAGAAAACAAAATGCATAAAATCTATATGACTACATCTCCTAAGTTAATAATGATAAAAAAACTAATTAGTAGGCTGACTCGACCAAGTCGTCTTCTGTACTAGAACTAGTTTGTGTTTTTACTGCCACCATAGAAGATGAAAAAAGGGAAAAAAAAAAACAACAACAAATGAAATAAAATGACTGGAAACAGCTGTGAATTTTCCACAAATGAAAGTTACAGAATTCAACTTATTCAACAGCTTATATTTCCTTTGAGCCACTGTTTTATTTTCTTTTTTTTAACAGTCTTCCTCTCCTGTAACTATGATTTCTGGTATTGCTTTTGGTGCCATTTGCTGGTTCTGAGTTTGTGATGCCATGACCCAAGCCCGAACCTCTGTGGCTGTGTAGGTGGGTGATGATATGGAGGAGAGATTGTGTTTTCTACACAGGATCAGAGGAGGGTTCTTTAGCAAGGTGTAAAGCAAAGCCCAGCGTCTTCTGGCTCGACTGTTGACTGGAGAAGCTTAAATGTAAACATGCAAAACAAAGTTTAGACACAAAATGCTAGTATTATAAATATCCCTAAATGTGTTTTTCTAACCTGATTGAGTGTTGTCAAATGAGGAGTATGTAGTTGGAATGTTTTTTTCTATTGTGCCTGAAACCAGAAGCTGGCAGAAACACACCATGACTGGGTTGTTGTGATAATGGTCGGCAAAGATCATCCCTATCCATGTGCTGTAGCCTAGGAGAAAAGTTAGATACACATCAAATAAATGAATTAAAGATTGAATATTTATACTATATAGCGAAGCAGTGTATATTTTCTAGGCTAAAGAGAAATATATACATATTTCAATAAATAAAGTTTCTAAACTATATTGCTATCCCCATTTTATTTTGGATTCATTTGCTTTAATAGAAAAATAAATGGGGGGTTTATCATTCAATCTTTTGCTACCAACAGATTTATTTATTTATTTTTTTGCTTGACAAACTTGTTGTTTTTTGATTGATTAAAAAGGAAAAATAAAACAAAAAAAGATGAATGCAAGAGTCACAGCATTTCCCTTTAAAACAAGCCAAGCTGACCCAAACATCAGCATCATTTCTTTGTTGGCATATATTGAAACACTGCCCTCTTGTGCAGGATCAAGATGCTAACAGGTAAAGTTGTTTGTCTTCTTTGTTATCCTCTTCCCCTCCTCTTTACAGCCAATAAAAATGTAAGCAAAATAATTTTAGCTTAAAAAAATCTCTTTTAAATACTTTCTGTACTTAAAGGCAGATGAGACATGAAACTGATAAATCTCATTAATATGAATGCTTAATTTATTAAGAAAACAACAAATCATATATAGGGTAAGAAACTAAATGCAATCAAGTGATTTAATAAGAAAAAAAAGTTAATTTGCTTTTTTAAATGTATCAAAACATTCTATAAACCAAACTAAAAAAGAGAAAATGTGAACCTGAAGCTTTATTGTATGTTTCCTTAACCTTGTTGTTGTTTAAGTTAATCTCACCAGCGTCTAGGTTTTCATATCCCCTCTGCATTATGGTTCGGTCAATACGGGACACCAGCCATGTTCCAACCACCATGCTTAGCAGGAGGCGTATTATGCAGGTGCTGATCCCCATCACCACATTGTAGTAAAAAAAGAAGTAGTTGAAGCAGTGGAAGGCCTTTCTGAAATATGCAAACACACAAATGTGTAGGTTTTACAGCTATTACAGCCTTGTTTTTTTTTGTTTTTTTTGTTCTCGGGCATACTACTAAAACAACATTAAACCACGTTGATTAAATGGCCCACAATCCAATTACATTGATGAAAAATTAAAACATGGATCCACATAATAATCTTTAAGTTACGCCTTTATTTATTCAAAAGGCCAGGACTATAGTGAACAGGTGATCTATTAATCTGTGGGACCTAAAAAAATATATTTTTTGTGAGATATCGTTTTAAAAAACAGTGTTAGATATGTCAAGGATACTGCATCATATCAGTCCCACCTTGAGTGACCCA